TCTATTTTTGAGAGAGAGAGCACAAGTGGGGGAGGGGCAGAAAGAGAGGGGGGACAGAGGATCCGAAGTGGGCTCTGTGCTGACAGCAGTGAACCCGATGCGGGGCTTGAACTCAGGAACCATGAGACACGACCTGGGCCGAAGTAGGACATTTACCAGACTGAGCCACCCAGGCGCCCCTATTTGTTAGCATTTGATTTGGAATGTTTGCGTCAAAATCAGAGCGAGTTGGGTCTGTGCTTTATTGGCTTGTGTTTCTTGTTCTTGCTAAAACGTGTTGGTGGGTTTATTTGCTTTTCAAGTTTTTATGTTAAGGTCACGCTGCCTCCATACAATCAATGGAAGAGTTTCTGTCTTTTTCTGTGACCTAGAATCGTTTAAGAAGCATCAGAATTACTTTTGCTGTTATCAGTTTAAACTATCAGAAGGTTAGCTAAATTCGTCTTTGAAATCATCAGGGCCTGGTGCCTTTACAAATAATTTTATGCATACAAAAAAAGGCATGTAACAAGACAAGACAAAACAGGATGTAACATAAACGTAAGTTAGGACACAGAGGGAACCGAATTAACAGAGGTTTGTAACTTACTTGTCTGGGTCACCAAGATTCAGCTTGGCTAAGGGGGCACCCACTGCACTTTCTTTCCTTAATGGCAATTCTGGAGCCGGCCAGACTGTCTGGGAAAGTCACCTGGCACAGATGAGACTCTACAGTGTGATTTTTGGTTTTCTCCCCTTCCCTCCTTTCTTCTTTGTAATAACCACATACCTGCATTTAAACGCCTGCCACTTTATTTACTTTAGATGCTTATTTATTTATTTTGAGAGACAGAGAGAGCAGAGGAGGGGCAGAGAGAGAGAGAGGGAGAGAGAATCCCAAGCAGGCTCCCCACCGCCATCGTGGAGCCCGACTCGGGGCTTGAACTCACAAACCGTGAGATCATGACCTGAGCCGAAATCGAGAGCTGGACTCTCTCAACCGACTGAGCCACCCAGGCACATCCTCCCACCATTGTACTAACTGGGCGAGGCTATGTATGCGACGGAGAGGATACATGAAGTTTTGAAACCCAGGTCTGTTCCTGGGCAACTTGAGCACCTGTGTGGGGCTGCTTTCGTGGCTGTAAGACAGATCTGTGTGAGGTTTGAACAAGATAAAAGCTGCACAGAGTCTGCAGATATTCTGCAAATGTGCCCCCCAGCTCCTAACAGAAGAAGGCCCTGTTCTGTTGGGTGGGCAAGGGGGAGCCCCTGCAGGTCCTTGAGGTGGGGCGTCACCAAGATCCAACAAAGCACGATAGGAAGGCTTTAGTGCCAGGAGGTGGATTGAATTGGCCTGATGTTACAGGAGAGGAAACTGAGGCACAGAGAGGGGAAGTTCCCTGCCCAAGGTCACACAGCTTCAAAATGACCGTGCTGGAATCTGAACCCAGGTCTTTCTGACTCCAGGCCTCCCGGTCACAGGGCCTATCCATTCCCCAGCCCTAGAGCCTGGGAGGCGCCCCCAGTCCTCCCTAGCCCACGGTGCAACCAGCTTCTTGGGAAGGATAAGCAACACCCCTTGGGCCCTAGCACCTTCTGTACCTGCCCCCGCATGAGTCACTCACCAGAGCCCGAAAGAACCCACCTGCTGGAGGAGTTCTCTGTGTGAGTGCATTTCGGGTTCCCGTCTTAGTCACCGCGTCTCTTGGTTCCCACCCCTCCCCCCAACTGCCAGGAATCTCCATGTCCCCAGCCTGAGGCACCTGTGCCTCCCCCACTGGGACTCAGGCCCCGGGGGGTGGTGAGGGTTTGGTGGTGGAACCGGCAAGGCTGAGTCCTGGGCTGGGGGCCGGGTGACTGGGGGCCACTAGGCTCCATAACCATTGCTGGCTTCCCTTAACCCAAGTGAAAGCAGTGAATTTGTCAGGTGGATGGTCTCAAAACCAGTGACAGCTGGCACTTCTAGAGTGCTAACTCCAGCCAGGCCCTGCTCTGAGCCCTTTGTATCTTTTAAGACATGGAAGCCTCATAAAAGCCCGTGAGGTACTATTGTCTCTATTTTATAGCTCAAGCAACCCAGGCTCAGAGAGGGGAAGTGACTTGCCCAAGGCCACAGAGTCCGCAAAGGACAGAGCAGGGAGTCTGGACCGCCTCCGTGATGGGCATTCCAGCACCGACACTGTCCCAAGGGCTGGGCAAGGCTGAGTCTCTGCCCTGGGCCCCGTCCTGCACCTTGAGCCAGAGCCCCTGAGAATGGCGAGCGGGGGCCACCATCTGGGGAAGGGACCAGTTCTACTCAGCACAGGTGACCTCTTGGCCAGGCCACACGCAGCAACCCCAGGTTGCCAGGCCGGTCAGCTTCCAGGCCTTTGTAGGTGGTTTCCTTTGCTTGGAACCCGCTCCTCCTTCTCTCTCCTGGACCAATCCCCTCTCCTGGACAACTCAAGGGCAGCGGCACCTCCTCTGGGAAGCCCTCTGGGATGTGCCCCC